GAAGAGTAGCAACTTCTGAGGCAAATGCTGAAGTTGCAACCAGAGCTGTATTGCAGAATCTGTGGCCACAGGGCCTGAATAGAATCCAATGTGTCAAATACATTTCTGTATGTGGGTCATCAGGGTCAGCTGTCTTTTACACCAACCAGAACGAGGCTTCTTTTGAGAAGTAGCTGAAGCTTTCAAAAGAAAAGCAGTTAATGCTACTAGCTTTCCTGAACAGCAGAGATCTCCACTAAAATCCTCTGAATTCCAGACGACTTTAAAAAGCAAGGCACTAGATAAGTGTATCCTCTTTTGGCAAGCAGAGTTTCAACTCAGCATCAGACTAGCAAGTACAAATTGGTCATGTTTTAATAAAAACCAACAATACTTACAATAACAGAATGATACCAAAAAAAGAACTGCACAACGAACACTACTTTAGGAACAGTTAAAACTGCATGCGCTGTCAACAGTTAACAAAGTCATTTGAAAGGCAGGATACAATTCAGGAATCAGCGAAATCTAGTTTGCTCTTCACGGAATCAGTCCTCAGAGTCAGAACGCAAGGACAGCAGTAGCTCACAGATGCAAGCCCTTGTCTGCAGGAAGGACCTTAGATGTTAGCAAGCACTCTGAGCTTCTCTCTCAGAAAGCATTCTCCTCCCCACAAATTCAGTGCTATCCACCCTTGTTCAGAGATGACAACTGCCAGAGTTCTCAAGGTAAAATGCCCAGACCATGCTCTCATCCGTTGAGGTTAACAGAGCCTTGGATGCACAGAACTTCTCAAAACCGTGGCTGCTTTTGCAAAGTATTCTCTCTTTAAACATCCATATTTTTAGAGCCCATACTCTCCAAACTACAAACTCCAAATAACTTTTGCTGTCAAAGTGTATTAAAAAATGTAACTTATTAAAATAAAGTTGATGTCTGAGCATATTTTTCCATGCTAACTTATCTTTTAAAATCATACTTACTTACTCAGAAAAGCCCAGTGGAAAGACTTCAAGTGCAAAGGGCTCCCTTCCACCTCAGGCTAAAGGATTAAAAGCCTAACCCAAAACCCCGCAGTACGCTCAAAACTCAAGCTGTTTGGTGGTTTTAACAGTCAGAGCAACAGATTCACCAATGTAGTTCATTGAATTCATTCTGGCTCATGTCAGTTTCAGTTGAAAATCCCAGGATCGACATAAGGATATGCAAGAAACTCCCCCAGTTTATTGCCTTCCACATCGTAATGGAGCATCCGAAAACAAACATCGCAGAAGAAACAAGGATCCTCTGGCGCCAGACTGTCTTTGTTAGTCACCCACCTGCAGGTTACAAAATACAAGTGTTTTCCATGCAAGTCCAACACATTGGTGACAAACATCTCAACATTTTACTCAGAGTTGGGGATGGCAGCAACAAACATCAGTAATAATGTTACACTGACCAGGTACTACCTATATTGCATATCTCCCGCCCCAGGCATACAGCTCTTTTCCAAACTCCACACTCATTCAGTGTCAATCCAAGCTGCTATCTTACACTGCTACAGCAGCATTTCCTGAGGAACTCTTCAAACCTGTGTAGCTGGTACAGTGCATAACCAAAAAAAAAAATTAACAGGAATCTTCTATCCACTCTATGGCCATTTTAGTCATAAAGGATAAATGTTTTCCCCTAAGGTAAGAAACTGATACAGAGCAGACACGTGACTGACCCAAACTACTCTGAGTAATAACCAAATCCATTTACAAGTCTAAAAGAAGGGCCTGGATGATGCAGACAAGACAAGGAGAGGATTGCTGCACACTCCAGCAAGCACTGAAGTTAACATGAACACAGCTGCCAGCACAAGGAGGGCCTGCCGTGTCACCAAGCAACTAATTTATGGTAGCACTCAGAAGCCATGACAGCTCAAGGCCTCTAGTGATTAAAGATGCTATCTGCACAGATTAGAACATGCAGGACAGCCAGCCAAAGGAGCTCTGCTATCCATGGTTTAGCATCTCCCCACTTAAGCTTAGTGCTTAATCCTGGTTTTAATTTAATGCATTTACATCACCTCTGGTAATGCCCTCCCCATCCCATCTTTCCCTCATATTGACCCTTTGGCTCCACCTCCCCTTATGGCCAAATGCATCACAGATTACAGCCACTTGCAAAGGCATCCTAGGGGCGCTGCTAGGAATGCTAGGACGGACTCCCACCACGAGGGGAATCCGCTCTTTGCCCGATTCCAGGAAAAAAAGGGGAAAGCTACATGCCATTTAAAAATCTCTAGATTTTACAATATTAAAGTTGGACAGATCCATACTTCCCTTTACTTAGATGCTAGAGTTAATGAAAGCTCTGTATGACTTCTGGCAAATGAATGCGAATCACATGTCTTGTCACAGGGGGAAAATGCTGCAAAGCAAGATTTTCAAAAGTAATTGATTGAGAGCTGAGCTCTATGTATGCAAAAGAACCTGAGCCAAATAATTAACCTCTTCATCATTTCAGTTCTTTTGATCATCCTGAATCATCATCTCCAAATGAACGCTACCTGCAGAAGGTCTTTGCCTGGGCAGGGAGAGGACAACTGCCTGAAGAGTAAGATCTTGGAATACTTGCATGAAGATTATTCACACACCTTATCAAATACATACAGAGCTTTGATTTTTTTTTTTTTTAAAGTGAGTAGCAGCACCTAGAAAGACTTATTTAAGAAGACAACTTAAAAGGATTGAGAATGCAGCGTACCTGGCTGTATACATTTTGCACACAAAGCATTTTCTGGTACATAACCAGTGTTTCTTGATTAGCAACGGATAGAGGTTCCTGTCCAGGCAGTCATCATGATGAATGAGCCTTGAGGGAAACAAATAAATACATAAAATACAATAAAGACTCAGCCACATTGAAATTTATTGGAACATAAGCATGGACACTTGAAGGTAAGGCATGATTTAAATTCCTGTGTAAACTAGGACTAGACTTCTGCTTAGCATTTCTTGACATAGATGAAGACCTAGAGACAGACTGCTAGTTGCACCATGCATAGATTTTATGGTCAGGAGTAAATTCAATTTGTGTAGTAACTCAGAAGTCTTTAGACCATCTACTTTAGACAGTCTTTTCAGAGCTTTTATCTCCTACATAGACTAAAAGGCAAAAATGTCACCAGGTGACTGTTTAGATGCTCATAATCCTGCAATCACCTACTTGCAACATCTATGCCCTTCTTTGTGTTGCCTTGGGAGGCACCATTTATTAACAACGCTTAGGTACATCAAGCCTCTGGGAACTGAAAATGATCTGTCACCCACTACAGACAATCAGAGGAGCGTCCTCTCTACCCGTTATGCGCTGAGCAGAGTACACACAACACTTTTTCTGTTGATGTGGTTCTCACCTCACAGCCATTATCACCGTCTCCCTCTCTCCCTCACCTATCCACCTCAGCCCACTATTTCCACTCTTCTGTTCTCTTTTCAGTTCCTGCCCCTTAGCACCAAGTCTAAACTAACAAGTCCAGCTGACTTCGGCCAGAGCCATTAACAGCATTCTGCTCCCTGGTGCTCCAGAATCAGTATGTAAATCTGCCACACATTGGCTCTACATAGAAAGGGTTTTTCACAGGGGGTGCTAATCCTCCCATACCACAGTCATGCCATGCTAGTTAGAAAGCAGTCTTTTTATGCAGACAAATTATTTAAAAAAAAAAATATGCAAGGGAGATTACTTTCTTCCTTGCTGAGGTATTCACATGTATATGGAATAGAACCTTAACTAAGCCCTGCAGAAGGCAGCAGAATAATCTTAAAGTTAGTCCAGCAAATATTCAGCATTTAATGCCTGAAGTTTGTCCACAGAAGGCTTGCTTTCAACTACCTAAGGACTCCCAAAGAGCAGTAACTTACCTTATATCTGTGATGATAATGATGTGCTCACAGTTCCCTTGGTGGCAGAAAAGGTATGGAAAGCCAATTTTGAGGGACAAATCATTAAATGCGTAGTCCTCCATTTTAACAGACTGAAGATTTCCATAGCCTCTGTCATGAGATTCTGACCACTCAATAATTGTTCTGAAAACACAAAGGTCATCAGCATAGCAATGCTATAAGCTGTGAATGCACAGAAAAGGAAGGCCTTGAGGTACATGTAAAACTCTTCACTGGGACACAGTTAAAAAGATGGAAATAAAACCAGCTCACAACATTCTGTAATAATTTAAGGTACTTTCACAGCAATACCACAACCCCACAGAACTGTGCACTGTTCTTGCAGAACACCTGCCTGCAAATCCACACCAGGCAGCTTTCTGAGGCGTTCTAGTCAGTGTACGCTCCTGATGGCACCCATCCAGGTCAGGTTGTTTGCAGCACAACACTTCTCAAGCATTCCAATAATTCAAGTTACCAGCACGTCATTTTTGCTCCCTTGGTCAATAACTTTGTTTAAAGTATTAAAAAGCTTTTTTCTGTTTTTGCAAAGGAGAAACACAAAGCTAACAACTGCACAGTTACATTTCCAAAATTTAGCACTGGAAGGGCACTGGCCACTGTTGCAATTATTTCTTGACTTGTCAGCAAACTCCTACGTACAAGGCATTTCACTTCTACAAACTGTGTACGTTATCACAAGCCCTTCCATGAAGATCACTGCTCCTCATGGACAGAAAGAGGAGCAAAATAAATAATTCCTCTGAAGCCACACACCAGGTCTGGAATAACAAGAACAGAGTCCAAACTCACAGCTCTTCCCGTACCATCCATTTTAATATCTTGATGTCGTAAATCTCACTAGTGTGTCACTAAGCCCCTACTTCCTTAAAACAAACTACTATGTATAGTTTAAATGGATATGACCTGTGCTCAACCAGTGTCAGCTATAGTTCCAAACAAGAGATAACTGAGACTCTTGGCAATGTCATCTCAGCTTTCCTTTCCCAAAAGTCATGCAGTTTCCTGCTTGACTTTACCATGAAGGCATTCAGCGTATTTTCAAGACTGAGCAGAACAACTGACTTCCACACAGCTGAGCTTGTTGTCTTTCTGATCCATCTTCTTACCTCACAGGCAAGTCTTTCGGGGGTCACTGCAACTACAGAGGGCACCTGAAAAGCCAGTACAGACTGGCACCTGGCACTTTCCACAGCAATCCCATCCCAACAGAGCAAAACAGGATTTGCGGGGGAAAAAATGCCTTCATCCCCTTTTCAGAAGGGAAGGGAGTGGTAGGAATAAGTACAGCGAGTAAAGTTAAACTTCCATTAAGAATCAATTGAACATGAAAAGCTAGTAAGAAAAGTCCATTCTAGCTTCACACACTAGACATTCCAGTCTTAAAAATACCACAGATCACAAACAAAATGAAATTATTTTCCTGTCCCTTAAGCTTTTTCTTAGTCAACGTCTACAAATACTATACCTGCTCAGATCTCTGCACTCTGGGTATCTTTTATCATTATAAAAGATGCCTTCAAAATAAAAGAAAGCAGATTTGTAGAGATCCTGAGAGAGAGAGACAGAAAGGAAGAGAGATAAGTCTGCATTAGTGTTATGACAGATTAAACACTTTAAACAAGAACATGTCAAAACCCAAGCACTTTAGGTGTCTAAATTATATTAAGAGACCTCATTCTACAGGTTTCTAAGAAAAGCTTTGCACTGGTTGTAAATGCTGATGTGACAATAAGGCTTATATGATTGCTGGCTACGCAGTTGCTCTGCTGGTATTATTCTCAAGCCATTTCAGGTTATTTTAGCACTCTTCTCTTATTACTATACCCATCATAGCAGTTATGGATTTCTACAAAAACACAGAAGAAGAACACAAGCATCATTGCACAAATTAAGTAACTGCACAGCACTGACCTAAAAAAAAGACTAATATTTACAAAAATTATCGAGATGTAGTGGGTTGACCTTGGCTGGTTGCCAGATCCCCCACCCAGTTGCTCTCTAACTCCCCCTCCTCAACAGGACAGGGGAAAGAAAACAAGACAGGCAAGCTCATGGGTTGAGATAAAGGCAGTTTAACGAGAAGAGCAAAGGCCACATGCAGCAGCAGAGCAAAAAGAGATCTATTCTCCACTTCCCATCAGCAGGCAATGTCCAACCACCTCCTGGGAAGCAGGGCCTCAGCACGCATGTGGTTGCTTTGGAAGACAAATACCTTAGCCATGAATGGCCCCTCTCTTCCTTTCCTCCACCTCTTACTGCTGAGCACAACGTCATATGCCATGGGATATCCCTTCGGTCAGCTGGGGTCAGCTGTCCCAGCTACATCTTCCCCCAGTCTCTTGCCCACCCCCAACCCACTGGCCCTGAAGGGACCTGGAGGGACAGCCTTGAGGCTGTGCAAGGACTGCTCAGCAACAGCCAAAACACTGGTGTGTTATCAACTCTGCCTAGCCAAAAATGCAAAGCACCACACTACATGGGCTGCTGGGAGGAAAGTTAACTCCATCCCAGCCAGTCCCAGTACAACACCTGATCAGGACAGGCCACATCACAAAATACTTCTTGCTGGAGTGACAGAGAATTATTGCAGTCCTGTCCCCTGCACATATACGTGCACACACACACACAATAGCCACATGGGAGCCGTCCCTGGTCACATCTGTAAAAACAAGACAGACATGCAATTTTGGAAGGTCCAATCACCTCACAGCTGGGGGCTCAGAAGAAAAGCTAGCATCCTTCAAAATTCCCCCTTAATTACAAAGTTTGTCACATGCAGACAGGCCATTTGTACCAGTCTTCTCTATCAAAGATAATTAACAATTTATGGCACTCATATCAGCAGAGCAAGAGTCATTTGATTGCAAATCATCTCAAGAAACTGAGCTAACCCATGAGCCTCCCTTTCACATGTAATAAATTCTGCAGCAGGACTACAGAACTATTTAGGTAAAATCACATACATCCAAAAAAAAAGCAGACTCCAGCTGCAAGCTTCTCCTTGAGAAGGAACAAAATAAATAAACGAAAAAATGAAAACATCTTGTTGAAATAGCACAATCAAGTATCTTTCTGTTTATCTATCCAGACTGCTTGCACAACAACATTCACAGAGCTGTTCTCTCCAAAGGTAAAAAAGAGAGACATATTGTGTTTCTACAAACTGGGGGACAAGAGGCTGGAAAGCAGCCCCACAGGAAGAGATCTGGGGGTTTGGGTTGATGACAAGTTAAATATGAGTCAACAGTGTGCCCTGGCAGCCAAGAGGGCCAACCGTGTCCTGGGGTGCGTCAAGCACAGCATCACTAGCCTGTCGAGTCTAGTCCCACTCTACACCGCATTGGTGCAACCCCACCTCGAGTACTGTGTGCAGTTTTGGGTGCCTCAATATAAGAAGGATATCAAACTATTAGAGTGTGGGCAGAGGAGGGTGACCAAGACAGTGAAAGGCCTTGAGGACAAGAACTTATGAGGAGTGGCTGAGGTCACTTGGTCTGTTCAGCTTGGAGAAGAGAAGGCTGAGGGGTGACCTCATTGCAGCCTACACCTTCCTCAAGGGGGGCAGCAGAGGGGAGGTGCTGATCTCCTTTCTCTGGTGACCAGCGATAGGACAGGAGGAAATGGAATGAAGCTGTGCCAGGGGAAGTTCAGATTGGACATTGGGAAGAGGTTCTTCACTGAGAGGGTGGTCGGTCACTGGAACAGGCTCCCCGGGGAAGCGGTCATGGCACCAAGCCTGGAAAAGTCCAAGGAGCGTCTGGACCACGGTCTTAGTCATATGGTTTAGTTTTAGGTGGTCCTGCGAGGAGCAGAGAGTTGGACTCAATGACCCTCATGGGTCCCTTCCAATTTGAAATATTCTATGACTCTATACAAAAGAGTGTGTGGTTTTGCAACTTAAAACCATCTATACAATAGCAGAAAGAGATGGAACAGATTTACACAATATATATATATATACAGCCAAAATTAGGAGAGGAAAAAACATACAAACTTTTTATTTAGATATGAATGCCATTTAACATCTAAGAAAGGATGTTTAATTGTTTAATTAAGGCATACATCTGCTTCCCATAATTTCCATCTTCTGTTGTTGCTGTCAAAACAGCCTTTCTATAAACAAGTAACTTGAGCACAGAGATGACCAGGGAAGATTGTGCTTTTTTATCCATAAAACTTTTTTACCTCTAAATTGTGTCCTTCCAAGTTCTTTCTGGCATGTAAGAGGGCATTGTTTTGGTTTGTGCTATAACTCCTTAAAGACTGAGGCCAGATAGCAGTGTATATTATCAAACTGACCACAACACATGTACAGGGCTTAAGAAACAGTTGCAAGAAGCAATAGACAGCCTTCTGCAGTGGACCTTAAAGCAGGGAGATGCCTCAGATGGAAAACCCAGAGCAAGGAGGGAACCATATTGTTCAGGTACTTTATTACATTTTGCTCCGGAAAAATAATAGCAAAAAAAAAAAAAAAATCACCTTTGTTGCAAGAGCCATACAGCTAACATGCAAGTCTATCCTGGGCTGGGGAAAACAGGTCAGCTGCTTTGCACAGGATTCATTACTGGCAGTGAGGAGAGGTTGAAGGACACAGACTAAACCTTCTTGAACCACTTCAGAGTGGAACACGTCTATACTGACTGCTGCTCAGGGAGCCATTCTGCATATGCTGTATATGCAACTGTGCACAGCTACAACACATACAAGTGATGCTAAGACACACTGTATATACAGTCAACCTGTAAGCTACAGCATACAATTTTTTCCATATTTTCAATTGCACTTTGAAGAAAAGCAGTGTTTCATGACCTTCCAGCAAAAAAACTTTATCTGCAATTATACACTGGCATTCAGATATCGCACAAAGCCTATTTAAATCCTGTATTTTCTTCAAGTGTATAGAAAACTGCAAGGAGTCCTTCATTCACGGGCCTTAAGAGCATTTTGATAAAGTATCTTTCCAATATGCATCAACACAGTTTTATCACAGTGAAGTGGTCCCAACTGTTACACCTCTAATTATACTGTGTGCCAGCTCTCAGATAAGTAAAGGTTATATTTATTCATCAACAGGTGTGTACGCAGGCAGGTCACACAGATAATGACTGGGGAAGGTAACTTCAAGGAGCTTGATTCCTTTCCATGTTTAACATGGTGACCAGCTCACTCCAATTCTATAACTTGGAAGTTGCTCACGGCTCCTTAAGTCACAGAATCCTGACGAACTTTTTGCATGTCTGTCGGGAGGCAGTCTATGACCTGCAAGAGCTTACAGTGGAAAAGAAAAGGCAGAGAGAGAGTGGAAGACAAGAAGTGAACGCAAATTATTTTACAGGCTGGGTACAGAGGCATAAGCAGACTAAATAAGAATCAAATAGGAAATCTGTGGACAACTAGGCACTCTGGATGCCCAGGCCAGTCTTATGTGTCTTTATTAACAGAGAATGAATGCTCCTTTGTGCCCAGAGGTCCCTCTGAGCTATTAACTCTAAGGCGTCAAAAGACAGGAAATGCAGACACTGGGGCCAGAGATGGGACTCATGACTGGAGACAACTTGCACGAAGACACAGTGGTAGGAATGTGTTTTGCATTCAGACAATTTGTTTCAGCTCTGTTATTGTCACCCTCCCTGGCTCTCCCACCACAAAGCGTAAGTTGCCATGCTCTGGCAACTCCTTACCAACTTCACAGCAGTTCTAAGTTAGCCAGTCCTTTAAAGCTGCTCCAAACTTCAGAAAACAGCTGTTTGTCATAGTGAACAGAAGGCCAAGGGAGCCACTGTTAACAAACTTCTTGGGAATCTGAGTCAGGTCTTTCTTGATTAATGCTAGCCAGAGGTTATGACTCAGACATTCCTTCTTCCCAAACTTTCCATTATCCTTCAGTTTGCAAGGAGGCATGCCCTATTATGTTTCTCCAGGGAATCCCAACAGTAGTAGTAACCACATAAAAGACCCAGGATCCTTGTTAAAAGTACCCATATCTGTGGAATAAAGTACCTCAATATTGCTCAGTTTTCTTAAACATCCCCCGATGCTGGTTTGACTAAGGTGTTTGTTTACAAAAAAACCCAAATCAAACCAATAAAAAGGACAGAATATTTCAGTTGGAGAAGACGTACAACAATCATCCAGTCCAACTGCCTGACAAATTCAGGGCTGACCAGAAGTTTAAACCTGTTATTAAGGGCATTGTCCAAATGCCTCTTAAACACTGACAGACTTGTGGCATCAACCACCTCTCTAGGAAGCCTGTCGCAGTGTCTGACCACGCTCTAGGTAAAGAAAAGCTTCCAAACGTCCAGTCTAAACCTCCTCTGATGCAGCTTTGAACACCCCACACATCCTATCGCAGGATACCAGGGAGAAGAGATCAGCACTTCCCCTCCTCAAGAAGCTGTAGAGAGCCATGAGGTCGCCCCTCAGCCTCCTTTTCTCCAAACCAGACAAGCCCAAAGTCCTTAGCCGCTCCTCATAGGACATGCCTTCCAACACTTTCACCAGCTTTGTTGCCCTCCTCTGGATGCATTCAAGGACCTTCATATCCGTCTTAAATTGTGGGGCCCAGAACTGCAGGCAATACTCAAGGTGAGGCCACACAAACACTGAATACAGCAGGACAATCACCTCTTTTGACTGGCTGGTTATGCTGTGTTTGATGCACTCCAGGATGCAGGAAGCTCTCTTTGCTGCCAGGGCACACTGTTGGCTCACATTGAGTCTGCTGTCAACCAGCACCCCCAGATCCTTTTCTGCAGGGCTGCTCTCCAGACACTCCTCTCCCAGTTTAGGCTTGTGCCTGGCATTATTACTCCATCCCAGGTGCAGAATCTGGCATTTGGACTTGTTAAATTTCATTCCATTAATCATTGCCCAATGAAGAAAAAGCAAAGAATAATATCACAAAACCCAAAAGTAGCAGGAACGAAAGAGAAGCTAGGCCTATTTACACCAGTAAAATCCAAAAAGTCTCTCTTACTCTTTCTGTATCAGCTGACAAGCTACACTTGTTTACTTAACCAATGAGAGCAGCAACTTGATCCTTTCACTCAGCTTGTGTACTCAAAGTGCACTTCAAGAGAAGCAAAAGCTGGCATCAACAGCTAACTTACTTACACAGCCTCTTTCCTGCAGACCACCATTCTGATTTAAATCAGTCTTTAAGATCCTTAAATTAGTCAGAAGTTATTTGCTCTATTTGGAAAAGCTAACATACTTCTGGCAGGTCATGGTGACACTTGCTTCCTAGACTGCAAAGAAGAAAATTCTACCCCACTGATGGCAGATTACCTGTCTGTTGAAGCAACATGTGAATTTCATTGCGAAGACCACACACTGAGCCTACACTTCAATGCAAGTTGTAAATTCACAATCATGCTTGAGGAAAACAAACAAATGGAATGAATGCACACCACTCACTAACAGCTCCTGCTGGGAGGCTAGGCATGGTGACATGGGAAATTATTGATGTGCGGAAGCCTAATCTCAACCCTGTTGAGGCTATGACAGCCTCACACCACTCCTCTGCATGCCCAGGAAGAGAGTCTCAGAACTCTCTGGTCTCAGAACTCATCAGCTAGTGCTTTACTAGATAGTAGTAGAAAGACTCTTCCATTTACTTTACATAATTGAAAAGACTAGTATCTGAGATGTCTTTCAGTCTCCTTAAACAAGAATGTGCCAACTTTTTTCTATTATATATACAAATATATAACATCCTCTGGTTTCTCTCAGATTGTATATCATATATTGTTTGATTTATATTATATTGATAATATACTATATTATTAATAAATAATGTTGGCCTAGAACAACTAGGCCCCAAGGGTGATAATCAGTGGAACGAAGTCTAGTTGGAGGCCAGTAACTAGCAGTGTACCCCAGGGGTCAATACAGGGTCCAGCCCTGTTCAACATCTTCATTAATGATCTGGATCATGAGGCAGAGTGTGCCCTTGGCAAGTTTGCAGATGACACAAAACTGGGAGGAGTGGCTGATATACCAGGTGATTGAGCTGCTGTCCAGAGGGACCTTAACAGGCTGGAGGAATAGGCTGACAGGAACCTCATGGAGTTCAATAAGGAGGAGTGTAAGGTCCTGCACCTGGGGAGGAACAACCCCATGCACCAATATATGCCGGGGGCCCCTCAGCTGGAAAGCAGCTTGGCAGAAAAGGATCTGGAGGTCCTGGTGGACACCTGCTTGACCATGAGCCAGCAATGTGCCCTTGCAGCAAAGAAGGCGAATGAATCTTGTACTGTGTTAGACAAAGTATTGCCAGCAGGCTGAGGGAGGTGATCCTTCTCTACTCAGCACTAGTGAGGCCACACCTGAAGTCCCGTGTCCAGTTCTGAGCTCCTCAGTACAAGAGAGACATGGACATACTGGAGAGAGAGTCCCACAAGGGCCATGAAGATGAAGGGACTGGAGCATCTCTCCTATAAGCAAAGGCTGACAGAGCTGGGGCTGTTCAGCCTGGAGAAGAGAAGGATCAGGACAGATCTTACCAATCTGTACAAATATCTGAAGGGAGGGTGTAAAGAAGACAGAGCCAGGCTGTTTTCAGTGGTGTTCCATGACAGGACAAGAGGCAATGGGCACAAACTGAAACACAGGAGCTGAAAGGGTTAAAGCCAAGACAGACAAAGCCACTGCATCAAAATGCCTCCTGAAAAGCCTAGGGGCAAGGAGTATATTTAAATATCTTAGTCACTTAACTAAACAAAAGAAAGGCCTTTGTGATTTAGGGAGTAGTTAGAATGGTTGTAAGATAAGGGGGCTCCGGGATAATCCCATCTCAGACAACTGGGCCTTGGGAGAACAAATGCATGGAAGACAGGAGGGCACAAAAGAATGACAACAACAGCCTTGAAGGACACCGTTTACGTGATCCTAGGACTGAGTTCGCGCAGAAGCAAAAGTCAATCAGCGAGCACAGTGAAGAAGACTGCATATGTTAGTAAGTTCTAGGAAATCTCATGTTTATGTAAATGATTTCTCAGAAATCCTGTGAATATGTAGGATTTTATACTATATAATCTCTGAAAGTCCACCAAATCGGTGGAGCACTTATGGTGGAGAATCCCCAGCGCTTCCCAGCGCTGCAATAAAGGATACCTGCTTAGTAGTAACTTCGTTGCTATTGAGTTTCATTTCAGGGACTCTCTGAATACTCCGTTTCTCCCTTGGGGGGATTCAGACTGTGAGGAGAAGCATCCGTGAATTTTTGTATCAGAGGTTCCCTCTGAATATCAGGAAACCCTTTTCATTGTGAGGGTGACCAAGCACTGGCACAGGTTGCCCAAGGAGGTTGTGGGGTCTCCATCCTTGAAGATATTCAAAAGCCATCTGGACACGGTCCTGGGCAACTGGCTGTAAGTGGTCTTGCTTGAGCAGGGGCGTTAGACCAGATGATCACCAGAGGTCCCTTCCAACCTCAACCATTCTGTCATATGATATATATTGTATGTGATATATTATCAAATGGATGCAATTTCAGTATTTTCAATTAGAGTACTTTATTGACCCCTTTTGCACATCCTCAGAGAACACCTGGCAATTGTGGGGAGGGGAATAATCTTCATTCCTATTTTTGATCAGCACCCAGTTGCAAACACCAAAGCATGTAAATTCAAAGAAGGATGGTCTACATTCAGCTTTCTATTACCTCTGGTGCTTCAGAACGTAGCTCGAAGTAAAGTCAGTCCACAGGGATACAGCTATGCAAGACCTCACTGCCAGTGTTACTACTTCCCAGCGGTAGCATTAATGATGTTTTTCTTGACATCGCACAAAACAGGTCAGCTTGGTAATGCCACCAGGAAGTATTTACTTGCAGTGCAACCCACAGGCAGAACCAATGCAGCCTAATTTAGTGCTGAAGAAAAAAACAATGCAAAACTCCGCCTCCCTCCCACCTGTATGTTGTCAAAGCTCCTACGCACGTAGAGGGTTCCAGATAGAAGGTTTTACCTTGCTGATGTGCTCTGGTGCTTGATCTGGCTGACTGCTGAACTCACCACCTATCTGGAAGTCACTGACACAGGAAATCGAGTCTCTCAGCTCGGTGAGCTTCTGGCTGCCGAGTACAAGGACTGTCTGATAGGGTTTGTGATCTTTATGCTACAAAGAAAAAAGCATAAAAGCTTCAAATAAAAATCACTTGTTAGCATCAGTACTGCTCTTCACTTGACAGCTTGAGGTCATTAATGGCAGCATATGGCACATCACCTCTCTGCACAAGATTTTAAACAGCATCTTGCCTCAGCCTCTCCTAAGGCTGCCATTTTTCAGCTTTATTCAGAAACTCAAAAGTCACATTCCCCACCAGAACGTGCAGAAAAGACAGAAAAGTCTGAGCACGCTTATCCCAAATCCAGAAAGAGTACTGTAGTTTTCATGAGTTTCAGATTTTGAGCCTTCTGTGAAATCAATTAACTGCCGAGTAATTATTGTAAAAATTGCCTTCTGTAAACCACTAACAGAATGAAAGCCAGATTCTGAAAGAACCTGAAGAAGTTACCACAGTTGAAGGGTCTACCATGCTCCCTCAGTGGACTCACTGATTTTAAGTGTTTGGGAAAGCAAGATATTACCTAAGTAGGGAAGAGACATCAGAATACAATCTAGAGAATTTAGTACCAACCTTCTGAAATATGACAGGATAGAATATGTTCAGAGTTAAAAGTAGTTCTCCCTCCTCAACTAGATCTGTTGGATTGTCTGGCCTCTTTCCAATTGCATGTGACTCCTGGAAAAATAAAGATACATATATATATAATTATATTGGCAACTACTTATGTATCAGAGCCCCTGGACAAAAGTCTGAGAAACGCTGTTCTAACTGTAACTCATTTTTGACTGTGTAGCCTTCTGAACTGATGAAAGCCTACTTCCTCCAGGATGGAAAGGTGAGAAACTGCTGTCATTATTGATTTCAAGCATTTTCCTTCATTCCTCAGCTCCAGAGAAGCTGAAGTGCTTTCAGCAATTATGAGACAGCTGGCTACCCCTCGGCTACTGGGAGGCCCTGCATAAAGGAATTAAAGCCTGCTGCCACTCTGCCCTCATGGAACCCAGCTGCTACCAACTTCCATCACTTATGGCTTTGAAACAGTCTTTCAATGCTTTCACATGTAAAGGGGAATCGCAACCCTCAATTTGAGAAACACCGACCTAGAAACTAGCCATAGAATGAAGGATATGAAAATAAAAATTAGTGCAACTCTTCCTCTTATTAGGGAAGCTTGACATAGCTGGAGGTCTCAATTTCTCCAAAATCCAAAACCAAAATCCAGCACTGCCCTTGCCACACTCCTATGTTTTAGAAAAGAAGTGAATGCATTTCCACGTTTCCATCCTACTTTGTGTTTAGGACATAGCCCAGCTGTGAGAATGAGGGAGGGCACTTTTCTGTGGCAGCCAGTCTCCTCCTTTTTCAACAAATCAAGAGAGAATACTGACTGCACAAACACTTCCCACCAGCACAAAGTGTTCTTCAGATTTAATAACAGGACCATGTACTGCTGTGAGACTTCAGTTCACAGATACTTGTCCTCTATCCCCTGCATCTCCCTTCTTCATGTGACACATTCCAAACTCAACGTTTCTTATTGCTCTCATCGTGTCCTAGGACACCATGGTCACAAACAGCTCTGACACACAAACCAGTTATCACAGCTTGCTTACAGGATGCAGTAACTGACCACATGCTCGTTCTTCAGAAACAGAAGTAAGACACCACTCACTGAAACCCTTCATCAAGATTTCTATTGCAAATATTTTCTCAGATATGCCCTAGTCTAGGAGCACAGCATTTAAGAAATTTAAGAACTTAAGTTTTCCTGTTTAGGATTTCAATGGTTGTGAAGAAATCTTAAAAAAAGAGATACTAAGAATAGTTAAAGGGATTCCAAGATGGCTTTTGCGGGGTTGATCACTACACTCCTGGTTCCTGGTCAGAATGGCTGAGAAACTTGGGTTACAAAGCTGAGAATTAGGAACTTACTGCCACCATTTTCCTACTGTCTTCCTCTTTCAACCCTACAGAAACCAGCTCACAATGATTCACACATTAAAGCTTAGATTCCAACACAGGACTCCAGGGGCAAAAACATTATGCATTTTGTCTAGCTCTACAATAAGTTCACATGATGCACAGTACACTTGATCCCCTACAAAATGCCTTAGTAGCAACCAAATGAAAGCAGTCATATAGTGGTAATGAGCTGTGGAGTTCCTCCTTCCTACACTAGGTACTAACAGACTGTAAGAGCAGAGTTCCTGCTCCATCTTTCTATAAAATGTCTTTAATCTTAATCATTACCTGCAAACTCATATCTGCAAACATTTACAGTGTACAGAGATTCACAGCAATGAAAAAAAAAGGAACCATAAGGTGCATTTTGGCAGTGCACAACTGTCTTGAGATCCTATGAGACGACAGGGAACTCACCATCTCATAAGCAAGAGTTTCTTGTCTGCAAGCCCGATCCACAATAATTGTTTCTTCTCTCCTCTCTAATGCCTTCTTTCTAATCCTGAGGAGCAGGAACACAGGACAAAATTTCATTCAACAACTTCCATGCAGAATCTCTAGGTATATTTTTAAACAACACAAGCTACTACAGTGCAGCTTTGAAAGACCAGGATTTGTGGCTGTCTTAGTATGACAGACTAACTTAACACTACCCTTGTCTCCTGACTCCCATAAAACCTGGTAGTACACAGGCCAGCTTGTGTATTTCAGCTTGTGTTTTTCTTTCCCCCTATGTGCAAATTACAGGTTGTTTGTGGGCAGTTTTACACTTATGAGAAAAATCAACAAAATGTCGTCTGAAGAGGCTCTCCTAGAAAGAACACTTTGTTACCTTTGAGGAAGCTGTTTCAACTATCCCTCCCACTTTAGATAAATTCATGTTCAAGCAAGAAACAAGGAAAAAAAACACAAATATTCTCAGTCTCATGACACAGATACTTTTCTAAAAAAAACTTCAACATAATTTGTCACGTCCCACGTGGGGAGGAGGAGTGACTGAGGTTCGCAAATTCTCTCAGTGTGGATTAGAGTGGGCCAACACTCGAGATCCGTACACAAACACCAACTTCAGTAGAAAGCTTCTATAGAGACAAATATTGAGTACAAATATTCGATACCTGCCAGCCCTCTCACGATTAGATATACCCCAGTTATGTGGCTTTATGGAAAATTAAGGTAGGCCGTGCAGCAGTTGACTACCAACTTTGACGACTTAATTGCCTTAGGAGAAGTGAAAAAGAGAGAGGGGGAGAGAGAAAGAGGGAAGATGAGGGGAATCACCAGTCCTGGATCCAGTGTTGGACCTGCCAACGAGGGTATTCGGTGGAGAGAGCCCCTGAAAGTCCCTATTTATAGATTTTAGTCTTTGGACTTCTGGAAGCTTCTCTTGCCCCAGTTCCAGGAGTGGCAGAGATACCAGTCGAATCAGGAGGGGCAACCAGTCAGCCCAAGAGGAGTGATACTGGGCCCTCACCGTCGCTCCAGGCACTATCCAGTCCTGGGTCCTACCGACTGTCCCTCTGCATTCTGGTTTCAGCACCAAGGCTGTTTGAGACATCTCGTTGTTTTGCACTAGCAGTTCTCTACATCATTTGTAGAAGAAAGAGTATCATACACAGAATATCAACTAAAATACATGTATTTAACCACTGCATGAACACCAAATCCTTTTTAACTTCTGGGACAAGTCTATTTACCCTCCAGACCTTCCTCAAGGTTTTCAGTAACAATCAAACTTAACACTGATCACAACCTTAACACGTTTCTTTACGTAAATACTATGCAAACTGAAATTCAAGTACAGCAAAGGCCTGAACGGGCCACATATGAATTCAAAGTTCACCAACTGTTAGAAACTTAACACATGAATTGTATAGAGAGCGGGTTCAGATAAAGAGGTATCTGGCTGTAGCTTCAGTACTTACACTTTGGCTGTTACCATGTGACTGTGAGTTACTAGCGGTAAGAGCTACAGATTTACTTCATGAGGCTTTGGAGAAACCTCCCACACATGACTATAAGAAGTCCCCTGCACGCTCCAAATTTAGGCGCTAGTTCAGAAGTACCTAGGTCCAGAAATCCTAAGTTCTTCCAATATGAAAGATGGCATGTTTTGTGTATCTTAACAAAAAAATTCCTAAGTAACATTCAAACAGAAGGCTCACACCAATTATCCTATCCTAAGCCAGTGTTTCTGCCCTTAGAGGTTTTCTGGACACTGCCTCAGAAAGTACACCATTGCCTGGAAAGGGAACAAGCAGCCAGCCATGCTTTTGTGTTTGTTTTCCACCCCCGCCGCATATCAGGGTACTGTGACTGTACCACAGTGACATACCGAAGAGTTAGCAGACTGCCATCTTCAGGAATAACATCTGGGTCCTCTTCTTTATCAGAAGACATTAACATATCAATGCTAGGACAATAAAGAAAACAACTATTGTACATTTTTTCAGACTTGCTTCATAACGAAAATCAGTTAAGCTGATAAAAGGAACAAAGGCAGCAAAATGTGAATAAACAAAACATAGCTTGTATAGCCTAAGTTGGGGCAAAAGGGCAGTACGGTTGTTAAGATAAAGAACCAGAAGACAGAGAGTCATGGAGTTTGTGGCTGGGTTTCACAGAGATTGGGTAAATGTTATCTTTATTTTGCATTCTGTCTAATGGAGCATAGCTGCCTAGAGAGGTTGAACAAGCCCCATTCAAAATATGTGTCCTATACTTTTTGTAAACTAAAAATATCACTTGAGTTTTTCAAATCTCATCCACCTACTGTGATTTTTCTGATGATATATGGCAAAATAGATTAAACCAAAAGGAATCATCAACCTCAACCTGTATGGTAAAGCTAACACTCCCCCCTCAGGTACAAACATGGGCAAGCCACCACATTTACACAAGCTGTCATTGCTGTATTAAGACATTAATTTACACCACATTTCTTCCAGTGGGAATGAGACAACACTTCCACCAGAAGTGACAGGTCCACTCTTCCTCTTATCCTTCTTTCCCTCCTCAGACTCTTTTCACCCTCACTCTTCTTCTGTTTGCACAGAATTCAAAGTCTAGCTAACCATAGCTTTTTGCTGCACTGCAAATCACTGCAGGATGTGGGAAGGAAAAGCAGAACTGCTTTTAGTTGCAGCAATGATTTAAACTGATCATACAAACGTTAGCTTTTCATAACGTAAATGAGGATGGAATTTCTCATAAACACGCCACAAAAAATGAATCCGGTGGGATACAATATCTGCTCGTCTGCCACAGTTTTATAACATAAGGTTCCCACACACCATTCCACAAACAGACCAAACGATCCATCCAAAGGCTTCAGATTAGACACTATAATAGTATTAATTACCTTTTTAGAAACATACAGAACAATGCTGACTCGAAGACAGTAATAATTTTGTATTAATCTCAAAAGAATTCTATCCAACTTAAAAATAGTCTGAGAAAGTATTATTTAAAACAGAGAAGTATCACCCACTTCAAATCAGACTTGATCTCTTTTGTCTCTCTGCTGTTTGCAGACTACATAAAGGCAGGGCTTATACCAATGCAGAAGTCCATGTGCAGTTTGAATCCCAGCAAACTCTTGTGCAAACCCATCTCTTTATGGGACAAACAAACCATTGGTGAAGTCCAGGAAAAATTTTTTGAGTGTACCATTTATTCTCGATATAACTTATTTGATTTGATTATATCATTTTTCATTATAATCTTAGAATATTCCCCATGTCAACAATACTAAGCTAGGTAATACTATCACTGCAGTAATGAATAAGCCTTTAGAGGGGAGCTGCATAGGAATATACAGTAATTGAGACATAGAAGTCTGGAATCAATTGGTATCAGTTGACAATAAGCAAAAGCCAGAGACAAAATTTTGGTTGTGGGTAGATGGCCTAGTTCTCATGACCCAATAAAGTCACTCTGGATTGAAGATAATTTGAATTTACCATTGTTTAGTTAGTTTCTTACCATCCAGCAGTACACAAAGAGTTTTAACCTTCCTGTCTTACAGATTTCATCCCAAACAGAAAACCATAGTTTTTGAGAAAAGGGGATTCCTTCAGAAGCACCATTTTAAAAGAAACTATGCAGCACTTAGTTACAACCTCTTGGAAACAGAGTCAACTTTACCCTTAGATTCCCACTTGAGGAAGTGGAGGCAGAGACAACTGAGTGAGTCCTGTATGAAGTACAGACTGAACCACTGCTGAGGAATAGTACTTTAACAGAAAGGAGGAGAACAGCACTTTGGAGAACACAGAGCAATCATTAGCCTTTTAAATGGGGCTGTTCTCCACTCAGCATGGATTAGTGTTATGAATAGCCCACCCAATGAAGCAATGTGTAGACCCTAACAGGTAAAGCAACTCACAACTTAGGCTTCTGTGGAATCGACATCCCACCAGCACGACTAGACCTAGGTCTTCCTGCACATGGATCAGTGACCCCATTCACCACAAAGCCCTGAGTGGCTTGAAGACCTGCCATTTTGAAGAAATGACTGTGTATTTTGGTCTTTAAACACCACACAGGCTATTTGCAGGATCTGAAAACGTCTATTACCTACCATTGTGAAGTGTCACCTGCATTAAAGGTGACAGTTTCCAATTTTCCTTCTGTCCATACACACCATGCCAGAACTCACCAACAATACTTGTGCTTTCCTTCCCTCCCACGGCTCTAGGCCAGGGATCTCCGGCTATGGTATCCATACCACACCTGCTAATCGCCTGCTGCAGGAAAAGAAAACTAATGTTCCCCAGAAGGCAGCTCCAAGTAGACACAGTGTAAAACAGCCGGCACGTAAGCTGCTTCCTCTTTTTCCTTGTAACGACAGAAAAAGAAACTGCCACTGAATCCCTGACAAGTTCCGTGGACCCTGGTGAGCCCAGATACTGCCACTTCTCACTCCTGGAAAGTCAGAAACCCTCAGTTTCTAAAGGGATGCTACACACAGAGCACCTTTTTCAGTATTTTGAATCACTCTAATAATCCATTATGTATGCCATTGTATCGCATGCACTGAAGCCTTGAAAGGCTTTGCTGTATGGCCTTTTACACAGGCCATGCTGGAGCTCCTCCTGGGTAACTCCACTGCAGCCAGTGGAATGAGAAACCCTCATGGAACAACCAGTAGGTTTGGTCCATGGTACTGAGGAAACCAGGCTTTAAAAATGAAAAGTATATGCTAATCCCTCCAGAAATTAAGGCTAAGTAGTCAGTGTCATACACCTAACAGATGAAAGTGCAGGCAATACAAAGTTTGCACCGGGCACACCTCACTCCTGACAACCACAAGCATGGGATTCATCTGTGTCCCCACACAGAATATTCCTTGCACGCAAGACAAATAAATACACTCAGTGCACTCAGTTATGGTGGAGGGGGAACCACTGGCCATACTGTTTAACAGACACTGACGTGAACTATCGGAGAGTGACGAGGAACAATAGTTGAAGGTCTCACTTGAAAAATGCATGCAAAATGTTACATGAAATTTATGTCCCTAAGAAAGGTATTTAAAGGCAGCTAGAAATAAAAAGGCCAAAGGCAAGTCTGTGGAAATTTGGACATGGAAATAGACTATCAGTGAAGCCCTTAATCACCATGACTTTACTTTTCTCAGAATATACTGGCAGCACAACGAGCTTTCTCAGTTTTAGAAATCAGAAGATTCTTTAGTATTTTGCCTGACATTTTCATAGTAAGCAGATACAGTGTTTATATTACTCTTTGTATTGCATATATTTTAAGGGCAGTACTTTCATCACCTTTGAGACACTAATACTACAAGAGGCTAAATACTAATACGTTAAGACGCTAACACTAGCTTAATGCAGCTTTATAACACGTCCCTAGATATTTACAACTACCCCTTCTAATAAAACAAGAAGGTGAACTAGGGCTGAAGTGGAATAAGGTACCTGTGAGCCTCACCTCCCTTGACCTACCTAAAATCCACACTGATTTGAGTCTTAGCCTGTCCTACATGTACACAACAAATCACTCAAAAGGCAAAACAGAATAACATAACTTAGCCTCTCTAAGAATCAAGCACTTCAATCGCTGAAACACCAGTAATGAATCCCAAGGTAAACCTCTTTGCTCACAGACCGCTAAGGCATTTGAACAAAACTTAAAACTTTACCGTCCTGACACCTTGGTTATTTAGGAGAACTACTGATGGAATCTCCTAGCTAAGGCTACCATTATACACCTGTTTAACATCTGATGAAAATACAAGCGATCTCTGTAACAATTGTCTGCATACAACTTGAGCAGTATGCAAAGCATTTTTACTGAGTCAAATTCAAGTGACTGAAGACAGAATTTTTTTTTCCTGCATTGTGTTTGCAGGAATGTATTACAGTAAGAAAATAGAAGATAAAAAAAAAAAAAAATCAACCACAACACACTGAGATGCACAGTGTTAAACATCATTTAAACATTATACCATTTCTCCTCACCAGAAGACTCTAAATCATCAAGTATACTTAAACGTACACTATATCACTATATTCTAAAAAAAAGATTTAATTACAGATATTGAAAAACTTCATCCTGAGTCTATGAAAGGTTCTCTTAACCTATTACTGTTTTTAAAATAGATACAGGATGACTATCCACATCTTCCCATCTCTCTTCTACCCAAAGAAAACCTCCTTAACTTGCCACAAGTTGCCTTACAAGTAGCTCACAGTCAGAAAAATCTGTGTTTATATCCAGGATGTGTTCACTTCAGCACCTAGAAAACTGTATTTATGCCAGTAATAATTGTGACCCCAAGACACCATAGAACAGATCTTGGTGTAGTCCAGTGTTTTCACTTCTTCTCCAGGGAGGAATACAAACAGCTCAGAGCAGGAGAGTGAAAGTGATCAAAGGTAGCGATTTGAGGTTGGCCAATGTTAAGGAGAGACTCAAGAGGCTAGGACTATCTAATTTAAAAGGAAAAGCACATGGAGATTAGGGATTGGGATTTCCAGCCTGCACAGGCGAAAGGTCACACCAGGATGTGCAGGGTTATCTTCATTCTCCTGCAAGGCCAACAAGCAGCTGCCAGATGATCTGTTCTCTCCCCCTGACAGACTGCCTGTCCTTTTTTTCTTTCCCAAACCTTTTCACTACCCAGCACCGCTTTCCACAGTACACTCAGCAGCAGACAGACAGCACTGCTCTGTGACACCAGCAAACGCAGACAGCAGATGAAATGTAGCGGTCATAGATTGAAGAAAGCAGAATGAATGATGGGAAAAACAAATAAAGCATAGGAAATCCGCTTGGCATTCAAGTGAAAACAGCAATAGACAGGCTCAAGCAACAGGGTCACTGCAGAGAATAAGCCACAGCATAGGAGCAGCCAGAGACTACATCTGCACTGGGAAAGATTACAG